AAGGTAAGAATATCACAAAGCATATCACATGATATTATAGTTAACGCCACAGTATATACGTCATCTAATTCAATTACTTGTAATAAAAGGTTATGAACGTGCCAAAGAAATGCTTGAGCCGGTGCCTTATCCTGACGATTTTCCAGAACTTCCAAAACTTAAGACCTTAGAAGAACAAGCCAAAAGATTAGGATCTGAATATCACGAGAATTTCAAGCGTCCACCTATCACTGTTACTTTTGAAGATCGTACTAATAATGCTGGAGTTAAACAACGAAGATCCACTTTGACGGGTAACGATACTACTGGTGTTAATGATGGAAGTAAAAATTCCACTTTGATGAATTATGTTCCTGATGCTTGGAATCATGGATGTGAAATATTTTGTAAGATTGATGTTAAACGTATTAAACAAGATAAGAAAAGTAAAAAATGGGTCGTATTTTATGAATGGTTGGATGTAAGTATTATTTATTGTTCTTATTATGATATGATATTTAAAAGATGATTGTTTTCACCTGTATTCTTTTTAATAGGAAGGGAGAGAAGCCTTCGTTAATGATAGTCATAACTCACTCTCCTTTGTAACTGCTGATCTTGTTTTTGTCGCCGCCGGTACTTTCGGAACTAACGAGATATTGCTTAGGTCACAAGCCAATGGACTTGAGATTAGCTCTCAATTGGGACAAGGTTTTAGCGGAAACGGTGATGTTAGTATTTATGCTTTTAAATACAATTTAAAATACAATTTAAAATACAGTGTTTAAATAAGTTATAAATTGTTATAAATTTCTCATTATAAATGTTTATAGATATTAGGATTTGGATATAACACTGATTCATTATGCAATGGTAAGGAAAAATATTTTACATTGACTAAATAAAATAAAAAATTTTTAATGAACCATTGTTTTTAGGAGTCGCAATGGGTAATACTAATCCTTCCGATTTTAAGGAACCCGTTGGCCCTTGCATCACGGGTATTATTGATATGCGTAATTCTGGTTCTAATGTCTTGGAGGGATATGTGATTGAAGAAGGTGTGATTCCTTATGCTCTTGCCAGTGTTGCCAACTTTTTCCTTAGAGCTATTGATGATAACCCTGAAGTAAAAGCATCTGATAATTCCGGAGAAAAGATGACTAAAACTTGGAGAAAAATTTCATCCAGTGTTTCAAATTATAAAGGTGCTATGGCAAATACTCAAACGTATTTGATTATGTCTCATGATGATAACACTGGCTATTTAGAATTACGTGATGATAAGCTTAATATAGAATATGATGGTGCTGGACTTACCAAGACGGTTAAAAACTTAAATGATATTTTAAAAGAAGCTACAAATAAAATTAATGGTACTTATATTCCATCACCACTGTGGTCTAAAAGGGCTTTGGGAAATGCTTTAATAACTGTGCATCCTATTGGAGGATGTAATATGGGAAAGGATGGTTATGTGGGTGTTGTGAATCATAAGGGCCAGGCATGTATTTCGTTTCTGAATATGTTTAAAAGTAAATTCATTATACAGTATGTACTGTAAATGTTAAAACGATATATCTGTTTTATTAGGTCTACAAAGGTGATGGTACAGAAGTTCATGAAGGACTATATGTTTGTGATGGATCAATCATACCAAGAGCTCTTGGTGTAAACCCATTCTTTACTATTAGCGCTTTGGCTGAAAGGATTTGTAACTTAGCCGCCCGTGATCGAAATTGGACAATTAATTATGATCTTGTTAAGGAACCAATTAATTTTGAAAAACCATCTGTTATATGGCCTCGTGAGTCTCTTGAACCTATTGAGACGACATGGCCACCTTTAAACGGAGGTGTCACTTTTACCGAAGTTATGAGAGGTTATTTTTCAACTGAAGTCATTACAAAAAATTATAAAGCTGCTGAAAGTGAGGTTTAATTTTTTTAATATTTAACGTTTTTTATAATTTAATAATTTCATGTACTAATTAAAATTTAATTGTAGTTCAAGCTAAATCATCCAATTCGACCATGCAATTTTTAATTAATATAATCGCGTTTAATGTAAACTCACTTATTGACCTGGAAGACAATTCCGCTACTATTTCTGGTACCGTGTCATGTCGTGCACTATCACCTGATCCTTTGACCATAGTCCAAGGAAAATTCCGCCTATTTATAAAAGAGAAAAATCAGGTTGATGCCAATACTATGATGTATAATCTTAATTTGGTAGCCACTGACGGATCTAAATATCGATTCAAAGGATTCAAACTTTTGGACAATGATAGTGTGTTAGGTGCATTGATGGATGTAACCACATTATATGTTAGTGTTTATGAATGTCTTGAATCTGATGATAATTTCAATGATGATGATGATGACAATGATGAAGGAAGAAAAGTTATTGGCAGAGGAATCCTGAAAATAAAAACAAGCGATTTTATTACTCAAATGGAGACATTTAAGGTAAATAAAATAATAATAATAAGAATAAAAATGCATAGTAATAAATATTTATACCGTATGTATTAACATGATTCGCAAATTTTAGCCAGTCGGTATGTCAAAAACGCAAAGAGCTGGCGCATTTTTCCAATTTACCGGTTTCTTTGCTAGTACCATGATACAACGCACTTTCACCAGGTTCCTTCCTTTGCAATACTCTTCAAACGGATTAACTATTCAGTCCTTTGATAAACCTAGTAGACCAACAAAAGAAGTTTTTCAAATTACAACCGACGATAATGTCCAAACCAAATTATTTAGATATAAAGGTGGAAACAAAGGTCCAGTGCTTTTGGTAAATATAATTCCATTCCATGATTTACTATTACCGGTACATACATTTAATTATCCGACTAATTATCGTATATATAGGTCCATGGTGCATCAGTGACACATGAAATGTTTTCAACAAATCTAATCAAAAATAACTTTTTGGATTATATGATGGATAACAAATATGACGTATTCTTAATCGATCTTCGTATTGCACCAACAAACGTTCAAAGTTCTAGTCAACACACTCTAGAAGATTGTGTTTTGGATGTTAAAGCGGCTGTAAACGAAATTCTCAGAATAACAGGATGTAAAAATATCTCAATGATTTCTCATTGCCTTGGAGTTCTTGTAACTTTTATAGGATTGTTAAGTGGAGAGATTAAAGGTGTTAGTTCACTTGTATCATCTCAAACGGTAAAATTGCAATAATTTTTTAGAATTTTTTATACTTTTACATTATAAATTATCCAACAATATACCTATTTTTTTTTTTTTTTTTTTTTTTTTTAGGGAATGAACACAAGTGTAGGTTTTTGGAATCGCGTTAAGGTTAATCTTAATTTAGTTGAATTTATGCGAAAAATCCTACACCAATCGACATTTGACGTACGTACTTCTCCAAACACTACTTTACTGCAAGGTACTCTCAACCAGCTTATAAGATTTTATCCATATCCAACTGGTGGAGTGTGTCAAAATGCGTTATGTCATCGAAACTCTCTAGCTTTTGGAACACTTTATAGACATGAAAATTTAACTCAACAATTACATGATAATCTTGATCAATTTATGGGTGAAGTTAATTTGTCTACATTGACCCAATTTTCTAATTGTGTAAAAGCTGATGAATTGGTGACTTATGAAGGAAATAAGATATATGTCACTGATGAAAATATTAAAAATAATTTGAATTTCCCTATTTTCTTATTTCATGGAAATGATAACGTAGTGTAAGTTTAACAAAATCCTTACTATTTTTACTTATTATTCATAAGAATTTTTGTTAATCTTTTATCGTTTACAATAGGTATGATGTTAAGGGAATCAGAAAAACATATGAAAAGCTTATTACTATTAATGATGCCACCAATTATAGTATACGTCATATTCCTGGTTATGGTCATTTGGATTGTTGGTGGGGTACAAAGGCTCATATTGATGTATTTCCAAAAGTCTTGAGGCATTTGGAAGATACAAAGAATTTTTATGGATAT